TATGCCTAAAAACGCTTGCTACGAGCTGAGGAGCGATTCTTTCATTAGCTGCCGTTTCCTCCCGCTCAGGAACACCTCCACCATCGTCTCCTCGTCAGCTGATGAAGGGGGTTAAGCAGGAAGGTGAGACCGGTCGTTCTGTTTATCTCTGTTGATTTTCCTGCTAATGTCGCCTAAGTGCTGTCAGAGCACGAGAGCTGCTCCAGAAGCGTGGCTGTTTTGCAGCGTGAAACCATGACTCATGTCGCTTTGCCTGGTGAAGAGGAGCGTCATCGCTGTGTTACTACAAATGACTGACCGGAGCATTTTCAGGAATACACGCTGAATGCTTAAAAAGCGTTTCTGACAACTAGTGCATATTTCTGATGGTTATAATGACCAAGGTGCTCTCCATGAACACATTCGGAGCTTTAGTTTCCTCATTGTGCACTTTTATATTTAAAAAAAAAGGAAGAAAGAAAATAAAAAGAGCTTGCTCTTTAGCTCTTTAATCAGCTGCTGCACTACAAGGCTGCTTTTACATAAACCGGGTCATAAGGAAGGTCAAAATCAAGGCACACAGACTTCTCTACTAGTCCTTTCCCTCCCTCCTACTGTCTGCAGCAGAAGCAGCTTAGAGAAGTTTCTAGAAGGCTCTGTCGACTGCCATCACCGTCAATCCTCTACCTAACAGTACCCGACTGTCGGCCCTGTGCGCTTCAGCCTTGATGTGTCAATCCAGTGGATATCTTTGCTCGCCCTCCTCCCTTTCTTCTTCCTCTCCCCAGGGACCTCTCACAGTCTCTCCTCCATCCGGAGAGAGCAGTAGGTAGAAACAAACAAACAGAAAACAACTCAAACAGCAGCAGCGGTGACAAAATTTCTCCTCTGCCCCTCTATCTCTGGATTTAGCCCTGATTCATTAATTATCTGAAACGATCGTACAGGAATCAGAGCAACCGCGAAACACGTTACAGATGAACAGCTACGCAAGCGGCGAGGACGTGGAGGAGTAACTTTCGTCTCTTCATTCACAGCCGAGGGGATACCGCATCAACACTGACGTTTTGTTTGCCGCCCGATTTTGTGTTTGTGTTTTCAGGGAGCTGCCAGAGACTTGAAACGCATGCTGAGGGGTCAACGAGGTCACGCGGGGGTGGAGAGTCACTTAACATGGACGGTGTAAACTCTCACCGTTCCCTCTCTAATTACATCTGTTTAAACACACGCTCTCTGGCTTGTGAACATTTGTCACGTTTCACCTTCAAAAGCACATCCCCTCAGATTAAATAGACACTGCTGTTCACTTTTCGTGATTGCAATTTCTGAGTGAAACAAACAAACAAAAAAAAAAGGAATCGACCAATCAATTACCTTAATTATTTTTTTTAAAAAGGAAGGGGGGGTGGGGTGTCTTTTCTCCCCCTAAATCAGCAGGTATCACTCTCTGGACCAATCCCAGCTCTTAGGGTAGCCATAGACGACTTTTCCTAATTAGGTCACGGTATTCAACACGTGCATCGGCTGTCTCCATTAGCAACTGACACTCTGATTAATCAGGCTAGACGGGGGAAACCACTGCTAAGCAATCCATCACACTGGGATAATTTATCAACATCAAGTGCAGTCTAGAGGATGTGACCACTTTTACAGGCATTATTTAGTGCTTTGGCTTCGACAGCCACACGCCAAATGCAAAGACAACAAATAACAATTTGCGCGCATACGCTCACACGCACACACAGGTACACACATACATGGGAGATTTTAAAAGATATCTCCAAATAGCACAAAGAGAATTTTCAAAGTGTTTCACAAAAGTAGTTCTGTGTTTATCTGCAGGGTCGGCCATGACAACCACGAAGTGATGAAAGAAAAAGCGCTGCTGCAGTGCATTCTAGGGATCTGAATTCATATTTACAGCCCGTGGAATGATAATGTACCAGTTTGTTTCCTTATTTTTTATGTTTTTTTTATTTTACATACATTATCAGCTCCTTTTGTTCCTGCAGCGTCCCATCGTGTTTTGGAATTAATTAATACTCCCACTCATCTGTCTTCATGTCCAGGTAGTTGAGAATGTTCTGGGCAAACTTCACCGCCTGCTTGCGTGCCACCTTGGTTGTCTCGTCTCCTTGCGGGTCAACGGCGTCCAGCGCCAGCAGCTGTTTGGTAAGCAGCTCCTCCAAGATCATGTAGCTCTTGTCGACCCGCTTGCCGTCGAAGCCCAGGACCTGAGCCTGGAGCTCTGACAGGCTCCCCAGGACTTGCCACACAGCTCGATGTGACGGGTGCTCATTGGGGCCTGGCTGGCGGCGTGCTAGAGCCTCGCGTAGGTCCAGGAACGTGATGACCGCCTGGACTTCCACCACAGCGCGGCGACGGGCTTCTCTTATGCACGGGTTCTTCGCCGTGTCCACCTGGTCCAGTTGGGTGAGAAGACCCTGCAGCTCGGCTTTGGGTCTGAAGCTGAGGTCACCCATCACACAGTGTCGTAGGACGCCCTCTCGCAGGTGCGAGATGTGAGCTCGCACGCCCTCGATCTCTCGGATGGAGTTGTTCTGCGCCAAGTCATACCTGTGAGGGTGGGGGCAGAGTCAGTGCTTCTCATGATCAAATCTGCAGAATGAGTGACTTGCCGGAGAGTCAATCAATCTTGATATTGTAACTGTGAGCAGGCATCGCTTTTGAAGCTATAACCACAAAATTAGCTTCTTCTTTGGTAAACAAACACTGAAAACCAGTGTTAAAGTACAAGATCTATTTATGAAAACAAAAAAACTAACTGAATGAAAACCATGTAGCTCATGTTCAAAAGTACCGAAACTGATGGGAACAGTCAACAAACCGACATTGCTCATAATCAAGAATCTTGTAGCTACAGTTTAGTAAACAGACAGAATCCCTCTGTTATACCTGCATAAGTATCTTCATAGTTCACATTAGAGTCTTTTACATATAATTTCCTGAACACGTACCCACCCATGGATCTTGGATGGGTAAAATGTGACTTTATTGGAGCAATATTTGTTCAGTTGGTCATCGATTCATCAATGAACGATCAATTAAAAATAATCGATTCGGTGCAGCACTCGTCTGCAGCTTCATCCTTTATGAGTGACGCCTACCTGCGTGTGTCGTCTCCTTCCCCCTCCAGGTCCAGATGTTTCAGCAGCCCGTTTATCTCCTCCACCACCTGTTTCCTGTAATTTCTGATCACTGCGTTCCCCGAAACATCCAGAGCGTCCAGCTCCACCTGCATCTCTGTCAGGATGCGTGACAGGTGGGCACAGCTGTCCCTCCCGCTCAGACCCATCAGCAGCGCCACCAGCTGGCTGCGGGCCACGCTCACCTTTACCATCACCTGGTTGATGCAGTTCACGGCCTCGTGGGTGTCTCCCGACAGCGGCAGGGAGAGGGTCTGCTGCTGCGTGCGCCCTTCGATCACATCCTGTACGGCGCAGAGGCGCGTTAGCGCCCGGTAGCGTGCTTTGCGCAGCGGCACCCTCCCTTCGGTCTTGACCTGAGTGAGCTTCAGCACGAGCTCCTGCAGAGCGTCCACCAACTCGTCGTTGATCTCTGTCACCCCGCCTGCTCGCTGCGGAGCCACGACGCGCTCGTCCACCAGCTGCCGCGCCTCGTAGCTTAGCTGTTCGATGGCCAGCCGGGAAGGATGGGTGGCGTTCTCTTCTAGATAACGCAGGAGTCCCTCCACCTCCTGAGCCGCTCTTTTTCGCGCTCCCTGCAGCTCCGGCTTGCCCTCTGTGTCCACCTGGTCCACATCCAGCAGCAGGCGGGTCAGCTCTCGCTCCAGACGCTTGTAGTCCCGATCGTTCTGAAGGCCGCTGAAGGTGCACACCTGCGGCCCCAGAGACGCCACCTCCTTCTGTATCTCGTACAGCCGCATCATGGCAGGGTGCTGCGGATGATATGCCGGCTGCTGCTGCTCCATTGGATGTTGTTGCTGCTGCTGTGGACCACCATGGTCCATCCTCTTCCCGCCATCAAAGGGCTTCCCAAACAGGCTGGAAAAAATGAAGCAGGAAAGGGAAGTCAGAACAATGAGCAACTGGGACAAACAGAGCCTCAGCAGACCGTATCAACAAGCCAACACAAACTCTGTAACCACATTCAGAGGCTGAAATCTTGAAGAAATCAAGAAGAATTTAGAACAACGTAGCAGGCTACAAATGCCACTGGTCCTGTTGTCACACTAATTAGCATGTAAACAATGTAGCATTTGAGTTTTGCTCTATGGAAACAAGCACACGCCTGCAGTAGGATTGACCTTCTGACACAGCCAGGAAGGCTGTTATGAATCACTGGAGACTAACTCCCACTGGCTCACAAAAACAAAAAAGGATTTATTGTTGCTTGTCAAATTTGCAGACACATTTCTGTTTATATGTCAGAAAATTCCGCCTGGTGGCAAAAGTCATTAAACGGGATGACACTATGTTTAGCGTCAGCAATCCTGACAATGTGCTGCCTCGTTTTTGTAAAACTTCACTGTGAAAACTGAGCCTGCAGGACCAGTTTGCAAAAAACAGTCCATTTGTTCCTGATTTCTTGCAGTGTTTCAGTCAAACTGTAACTCTCTGAAGATTTTTCACAGCCGATGTCGTCTGACACGATGCCATAAAAACACATTTGAAAGGATTCATTAAACTCATTTTCTTGACTATTGTCAAGAAAATGAGTTTAAAAAAAATAGTACTGTCTCAAGATTGTGGTGATTGGTTTTTTAGATACATTACTGTGCTCATTTCTTTATATTTTGCTTCCAGGGTGCCAGACTTTCTTGTCATTTTTAAAAAGCTTTCTTGAGTAACAGTTCTTCAGGCTTTCTGATGGTCTTTCAAAGTTTTTCTTTGGAAATTAGCTTTTTGTTTACTCATTTTCAGTGGAGCCCTTGTACCTGACCGTTTTCAGAGGAATGTTTAAGCTTCTTAATACTGATCTATGAATCACTCAAGCATACAAAAGGCATCTAACCCAAAGAATGAACCAGTGATGTGCCTACACATAATAGAAATCGTGGCAAAGAGCCCATTTTAAATAATATCTTTAAACACTTTGTTTTTAGCAGCCTGTCACAAAAACACATCGTTCCTGTTTTTTTTCTTGAGTCTATAAAAATGTTACAGACAACACAGTTTGACAAGCATAAAATAGTATTTTTGCACTGACATGGTGATTTTTAAAGGGCTATAAGCCAAAATGGGGACAACTGGAGGACAACAATGAAGTCGCAGGCCTAAAAAATTATCAGCAGCATCTGAAACTCAAGTCCTCAAGAAACAGGAAAAAAAAAATCAAGCAAAGACCTGACACAGGACCTGACATCTGGCCATTCAACCGAGTCATCCACTGAAGCCTCAACAGAAAGGGTCTCAGTAGAAGGCAACTTATAACCAAAAGGTTCCAGGAATAGGCCCGTAAAAATAGAAAACGAATGAATAAAGCTTACAATTTACATTTTTCTGATCATATTCATCCACATGTTCAGACTGCTGGCCATTTTTACACTGCTCTGTGGAAATTTTATCATGTCCCCTTGCATTTGTGCCTCTACGATGCACGCTGGAGTTCCTACAGTTTCTTTAAACAGCAATGCTTCAACTCCACTTTCATTTTTTTAAAAGTGGACAGAGGCGTCGAAGTATGGCAAGTGATGAGCGAAGTGACGAGTTTCGGTTTGTCCAAGAAACTCTGCTCCAAACCTGCAGACGACTGCACGAGGGCCTGACCACAGTGTTGGTCGTTTCATCCCTCAGACCCCTCAGGATTGGAGAATATGGCCTCTTCTACTGTAACCAGAGCACCAGCTCTCAGCACCAGCAATGATCCTTCGCATGAAAGTCAGGTCATTTTAGAAGTTCCTGTTTCCTCACTGGAGGAAAACTCAGAGCAAACAACACAAGCGGTCAGAACGGGAGAGAGCAATCTAAAAACATCAGCCAACATAAACAGACCAGAAGGGCCTGAGAGGATGATCCAGAAAGGGAGGCTGGCCAAATATAAATCAAATGAACATCAAGGTTGCTCTCCTGAACGAGCAAAGACATCGTGTTAAAGAGCTCAAAGACTGTGTCTATGCATCTTTAACGTTCAGTAGTAACCTTATTTTGCCAGGACATGACAATTAAAAAAAAACCAAACTGATGACATCATCCAAAATCCTCTATATTTAATCAAAGACTTCTTTATGTTAAGAAGCACAATCCCTGTTCAGGCCAATGACAGCGCAGCTATAGACAAGAACAACTTCCCACATACTCACACAAAATTCTGCCCTTACAACTGCAAGAAAACAAATGAGGTTAACCTACATTTAGTCTCGACAAGACAAACACCCACATGACAACCACTGGGAGCACTGCAGCGCGTTTCTATGAGATATATTGCCTGACGTGATCGTGATAAAGCTCTAATCCGCGTTAAAAGACGGGATCCAGATTCCTTTGCAGCGCGACTGCCCATCGAGCTTTTTAATACCGAGCAGAAAATAAACGCAGCCGACCAACACCCAAAAAATTTGAAACGGTTCATAGCGCCTCCAGAGTGAATCTCCACACAGGAAGATTCGGTCAGACGGCCTCATTAAATGTGTCACAGGTGCCTTGAGCTCTGGAATATATTCCCAGTTAGACATTTAGAGAAATGCCATTAAGATAGAAGCATCTGCCTTTTAGTTTAGGATTAATAACACGGCTCTCGTGAGGGCTGAAAAGATTAAATCATCTTTTGCGTTTTAAAAAAAAAAAGTAAGCTTTGCCAAACTCCAATGTGAGGATCTGCGGCTTTTCGTCCCTCTAAATAGATCATTTGTGGTTTGGTTGCGTATCTGATGACAACACAAAATTGAAAAGGTGAAATTACGGGATAAAAGCAGCCACATGAAAGACAGAAAGAGCAACAGATGATGACGTGTTTCAGCCCTCTTTGCTGCCTCTTCTTTCTGTAATCATTTTACCGTCTTGTTGCAGTTGTGCACGTGTGCACGTCTTTAAGGTCATTTTGTACTTTTTATCCCATGAATGTGTCTATTTTAGACCTTCTGAGTCAATCTGCAACACCTGTGTGCACATCCACACAGTTTTGCTTGTTCTTTTGCTCATTTACTGTGTTCTGTGGTTCCTTTTCCTTTCTTTTTCTGGTAGTTGTGTATTTTTATACTCTTGCTTTCTCTTGTAATAATTTTTGAGTTGCTCTACTGTCATTTTGTGGCCCTTAAAAGTCATTCTGTGCATCTCAGTAGTTGCCGTCATTTCAGATCATCTGCACGTCATCGATCAGTTCCCGGGGGTCCTGCAAGTAATGGAGTACACAAAAGCAAAGCCTTGACAGCGGCTATGTACAAATCCATCACAGGCATGAACTGTTTGATTTCAGCCCTGTTCAGGATTTTGGATCTGTGTCTCTTTATAGCATCTTCATATCTCTGCAGATGTTTTGCATTTATTTGTGAAATCTTGGAGTCTTTCTAGCCACTCTGTGCCAAATGTCATCTCTTTGTAGCAGTTTTGTTTCACCTTATAGGCATTTGTGTCTCTCAGTTTTCTTTGTTTGTTTTTTTTGTTTGTTTGTTTTTTTAAGGACAAACTGAACTGTTCAAAAATTGCTTTCTGCTATAGACGATCCCCCATTTAACCCCCCTGCTATGATGTTATGGTAAATGGCCTGCATTTGTATTTACTAGTCCCTAAGGACCCCAAAGTGCTTTACACATCCAGTCATCCACCCATTCACACACACATTCACACACTGGTGATGGCAAGCTACATTGTAGCCACAGCCACCCTGGGGCGCACTGACAGAGGCGAAGCTGCCGGACACTGGCGCCACCGGGCCCTCTGACCACCACCAGTAGGCAACGGGTCAAGTGTCTTGCCCAATGACACAACAACCGAGACTGTCCAAGCCGGGGCTCGGTGTTATGCTAAACACTAGAGCACACAGACATGAAAGGAAAGCTCTGCCAGCATGATTATTACATGTAAATACAGTAGCCGCCAGTATGATGTTTTGTTATCCAAAGGATCAATTAGGCTTATTAGCAATAGATAGGATTATGTATCAATGTTGCCTAAAGTACTTTTACATAACAGGGCGAGGGGATGGGCATTTCCACAAGAGTGGATGAGCACATGTCGGGCCAGAGCTTACAAATCTGAGTATTTATTAGGATAATCTCAGCAAAATCCACAGCCTGCCTTGTCTGAGCCAAGACAGACAAGGCTGATGTGGTGGTTTCAAAGCTAAGGGCAGGTTTGCCTCCCTCGTGGGAGGGAATCAGTCCTCCCTTCCCATGAGTCTCGCTGCATGAAGGGTGACCGAGCTGCAGGTGACACGCATGCAACACCTCCTGCTTATCTCCCAGATAAAGGCTTCGAGCTCCAATACCGGCTGCCTGCATGCTTGCCGGTCCTCCTGCACGGCTTTGCGCATTATGTCACCGCAGAAAATCCCGTCCTGCCGCCTGCGTGCAAACGCATCTACCTCTGAGAGCCCATGTATGTTGCCGGAGCTGCGCTACAAGAAGCACAGATACCACACCTCCAGATCTCGACAAAACGGCTCAAAGCATCTCCAGATGCTGTCAGCTGCATCCTTTCTCTCTCGTGCACACACGCACACATACACAGACAGATACATACACACACACACACACACAACAGCATTCCTCTCACCTTTTCAAAACCCCGAACACATTCGCGCACATTTTCACGGATGTCTGTTTCCATCAGCCAAATGCTGGGCGGCTCGTGCAGGAAAGAGGCATCCAAAGGGATAAAGCCGAAATCCGGGAGATCTCGATGCTCCTGCGGTCAGCTTCAGTATCCAGCGACTGACTGTGACTGACTGACTGCGGTCGGGCTGCTGTCGCCCCTCCCACAGCCTCTACCACCAGATTCCTTCCTCCGCTGCCCTTTAAAACAACTTAATTTAAAAATAAATATGCTACCAAGGACTCATGAAACGCTTAAGTGGAAACAGCCATTACAAAAACCGGTTTACAGCAGACACTCCCCTGTGAATGCCATTGTTAGTGTGTTAAGCTAGCTACTGATGATCACCTGACACAGCCCCACCTCAGCCAAATAACTCTGGCTTTTCAGCGTAAATACATCAACACCGCCACCTCTCTTTAACAGTTTCGCTCTTACCTGCATAGCCAGCGTACAGCCATCGGAACTGTTGCGGAAAAGTGCGCACCTCCTGTGACTAAAGCTAAACATTAGCCTACCTAGCTACCTTCGAGTACTTACTTTACAGTTCGTGAGGATATGAACTAACACGGAGTTTGTGTTTCCTCGCTAATATTGAAGAGACGCCATTACATCAGTGTTTTATTGATGTTAACAAATAAGAAATACAAGTCGATGTTTAGTTACCGCACGACACGTCTATACGAATGTAAAGTAAATCGCATAATCCTGTTAATATTCGGATAAACAGCTTTACTATTTTTAACCTTGTGCAAATTTTGGTCGACCAACAATAGGCGCGCTTCATTTGGTCATGACTCCGCGTCGTTTACCGGTGCTAAGATAAACCCTGACTTTGCTACTGTTTAACTTTTACTTTAGTCTATTTAACTTAGTTGACAAAAAAGTTTGACGCACATTATATAGTAAAAAAAACAACAACTAACAATCTAGCATCTCCAACAATTCAATAACAGAACGGAATAGGCATTTAGATACTTTGTGAGAGTAAAAGTACTAATAGCGAAACCTACACAGATAATCCATGTGGTGTTCAAGTTTAATTCGACAATAATGATATTTATCAAGCTACGTTTAGCCCTGCTCAACTTCGTCTGCTCCAAGCAGGATCCAGACAAACCTCCTCCTCAGCCTGTTATCCTTAGCTCAGCTCCCCTCTCAACCTGACTCTGCTGTACAAAATGCAACATTTACCACTGAAATATAGTTATTAGAAGAAATATAGTATATAAATATAGTATTAGAAATATAGTATTAGAAGTAGTATACAAAATAATAATAATAATAATAATAATAATAATAATAAAAATAAAATACATAGGAAGGGCTGCAGCAAAGGAAAAATAAATATAGTGGGGATTTTTGCTTCATGGTGACTACATATGCATATTCCTAACATCTAATCTGGTTTTTCTTTTACCCCTACAGCCGGTTTTTTCATTTCGTTTATTTTTTAATAAGGAAAAAATGTGACTTAAGCTTAAATAGAGAAACAAATAGATAACATAGACATATATTTATTCCCCACATTACTTTCTGTTTTGGCTCTTTCTGTAGTCTTACATTTAAAGAATATCCTAAACTGACAAGAAACCTTTTTTCTGTTGTCGTTTTTTAAGTGAATCCGGGATTTACCGGTGAGATTGCCGAGCGCATCCATGCTCCTTGTTGGGCTCACGTGACCAAATGGCAGGCAGCGTACAGAGAAGGGCACGAGCTCAGTGAAAGTTTGGTTGTGTCCTCGAGCTCAGTCTTGTGCTGTTTACTGTTTTGTTTTTTTTGGCGTGATTTGTCTTATTTAAGTCGCTTTTTTAGAGTCAACTTGCAAACATGGCCGCCAGGACAGCTGCAGCTGCGAGACGGTCGACATGGAGGAGCTTCTGTCCTTCCAGTCTCCGCTTATCTGCAGGTAGCAGTCGGCTCTGCAGCTCCAAACAGGCAACCCAGAAGGACAGGCCAGTAAATGTTTGTATAATGACCAATTATTACATTTATACACTGTTTAAAGGGCTGCCATTTGTTAGCTATAGACGGCTGGGTTGTTGTTGTTGACGATCACGTGTGGCGCCATTTTTTATGCCCACATTAAAGACGTGTGTACGAAATAAGCTGGGTTTTTTAAAAAAATTTTTAAACGTTGCAGGAAATAAAGTGTTATTGACAAAAATATATTGCAGTGCTTTAGACTTTATTAGGGTTGAATCGGTGTTACAACGTCTGTTTTAATGATACAGTTGTAGTATAAGTATTTGTAGGAAAATAATTGAGAACAATTTAAAATATTATGGTTTAAAGTTATATTTTAAGACCTAAAGTGTCCAGCAATACATCTTCTTAGATTTAACTTTTTTTAACCGTTTCAAAATTACATGCATTTGTTGGAGTTTGTAATTGCAGATGTTTAATAACTGTTTAATAATACAGTATTTATTTAAAAATGTAAATACGTCTGCTTTACATATAAGCGTGCATTGATATGCCTGTCAGTAATCAGACTGAATTTGCTGACCCAGTGTTTTGCATTTGGATTGTTTTACCTCTCTTTTCGTCTCTTAGCCCTGGAGCGTTTTTTATTCCTCGCTGCTCTTTCCATCTTGAAGTCTGCTCGGTAATGATAAGCTGTCTGGTGGAGGTCACTGCTCATTTAAAGCCACGTGATGTGCATCTGCTGTGTGGAGTTTCAGTCTTTAGCAGACTGTCTTTAAACCTGAGTTCCAGATGATATCTGCATTTCTCATTAGTACAGATGTGGCTGTGTTGGTGATGCTAACTTTGCATGTGGAATTCAAACTACATGGTATTTGTGTCTGATGAGCTCATCGTTGTCATATGGGGTTTGCATAGGTGAAATTTGGGACATCTTCAGCCTTGTGTTAGCACCCTGTATCTTTCCTGTTAAATTATTTTTGTGCTGATGCTGTGTTGTCTGAACCCATCGTTACAGTAGTTTCTTTTTTTTTTTACATAGAGATCTACATATAGACCAGAACCCAGCTCCACACATGACTGGGTCGGTCCACCAAACTCGCTCTCCAACATACGGCCAATTATTTACCACATCCCGGAGAATGAAACAGAGCTGGAGAAACGGCTGAGAAACCTGAGGCAGGACACAGAGGACTGGAACCACAATTTCTGGGCCAAGCAGAACATCACCTTCAGCAAGGTTACTGAAATACTTTTTAAAAAGTGTTTTTCTGGGGTCAGGGACTGGCCTCTGAAAACTAGTTTGTCTAGTTTTAGGACGTCTCATTTGTAGGTGGGGTGAAAAGCCAGTCCATGTGGAGGGTAAGGGGGGTATTGTCTAAAAATAGGGAGCACAGTGTAGAGAGAGAAACACGCATAGTGCTGCTTTTAACTGTTGAGATGGAAACTGACAAAGATACCATGGGGGAATTAATTGTTCGATCCCCTGCTTTATTTATACGTTTTCTCGCGTTTTATGGTAGCTTCATTTTAATGGAGGGAGACAGAATATTCCCAAATCCCAAAAACAAAACACTCAAGTGAGTCGACATCCCTCCTGAGATGTCGATATTTTCATAGAAAAATAGAAAGTTGTGATAAAATTGGTTCTTTTAAGTCATCTGAGCACCTGACATGCAGTTTGGAATAGAATAAAATTCATTTAAGGCTAGTTAGATCATCAGTTAAGACTGTGCTGGCTGTTCTGCCCTTCTGAAAATAAGCTGAAAGGTGGTGGGTGGTGTAAAGCAGGCATAGAAGCGGTTGTTGGTTCATTGTGGGGCAGGTGATTTCAGAGTATGAATAAGGGTGGGAAGTTGATGTGCTCCAAGAAAACCTTTAGCCACAGAGGAAGTGGAGTCTTTAGTCTTTGCAGAGAAACTGAAAGTTACTCCTAAATTAAATTCCTAAATTGTTTGTGATATTGTCCTGAGAACATAAAGATGATGTCTTCCAATTTATTACAGTTTAATATATATTTATGATGGTAATTGGTAGGGCTGGGCTATATCATACCGTTCACGGTAATACTGATGTAATTTTGGGCAACGATAGGAGAATGAAATATCGCGATAGAATATGGGTAAAACGCGCATGCGCAGTGTATATGTTTACATACGCACATGGCGGCGACGCAGAATGAGAAGAGCGAAAGTGGATCGTTAAATGAAACGGATGAACCAGAATTGGTTTGTAAAAGTGCTGCAACTTCGGTGGTGTGGGACTGGTTTAGCTTTCGTCCGTCAGATACACAACAAAGCACTATTTTTGGTAGAGCATGCTAGCGGGCCGTCGTTATTACCGCTTTGTTTGGAAAATACGGCACACTTAAAATCAATCCTTTGATTTTTCTGAAAATCGACAGTGCCCCTTATAATCCCGTGTGCTTTATGTATGAGTTCTGGTTGTGTTTACTGACCTCGAAACGATTTTATGTACACGGCGCTCGAAAATCTGTCAAATGTTTTAGTACGACTTTGCTAAGCTACGAACCCGCACCGCTGGATGGATTGTCGGAGCATTACGGCTATCGTAGGCAGGAGCCTCGCGGAGTGACACGTACTGTGTACTTCAATATAATATTACCATATTGTGTGTGTATAACCTCTTTAATTTTTGTGGATATTATACATGGTTATGCTGAGGATATGTCGACCAATTTCTACTGGAAATGCCTTTTGGTTAAACTGTCAGCAAGGAATTTGCACTGTTACATTTTTATATAACTTTAATGCACATAAAAACAGCTTCTTGTTTAAGTGAAAATACATTGATGTGGGTTTTTTTCACTAATAAAGATGTGGAGTTGTAAAGCATTTTGTCTAGTGTCAATTATATCGACAGTTATATCATTATCGCAAATTTTCAAATGTAAATTGAATATTGATAAATAAATATTATAAAAAATATTTTTGGTCATATCGCCCTGCTCTAGTAATTGGCCTGTATTTGTATAGCGCTTTACTTAGTTCCTAAGGACCCCAAAGCGCTTTACACTACATTCAATCATTCAACCATTCACACACACATTCACACACTGGTGATGGCAAGCTACATTGTAGCCACAGCTGCCCTAGGGCGCACTGACAGAGGCGAGGCTGCCGAACACTGGCGCCGGCAGGCCCTCTGACCATCACCAGTACAACGGGTGAAGTATCTTGCCCAAGGACACAACGGCCGAGACTGTCGGACTGCTCAAACCGGCAACTTTCCGATTACAAGACGTACTGCCAACTCTTGAGCCATGATCGCCCCATGATGATCCATATTGTTCTGCTACTGCTGCTATTTATTTCATATGCAGGCATGCCGTACCGCCGCTTAAATCCAATGAATCAAATTGATATTAGAAGAAAATTAATCTGTAGCTGTTAAAAAACCAAACCGGGTGAGCGATCCCTGTCGGCTTGTTAGTTCACTTTTCTTAAAAATAAAATGGAAATTAAATTAAACACAAGATGAAGTCCACTAACCGCATTATCTTCCCTGCCAGCTTCCTACTTGCATTAGCATCATGCTGTAATTTCCATCATTATTAATGGAGACTGTAATAGCAGTGGATGTAATTAATCTCTGTGTGCTGAGCTCATATGTGTGTAAAATCATTTCACCAGTAGAGGGCAGCATTGCACAACAAATGTGTTCTGTTAGGGCCCAGCTATGTAAGAGGTTACAGTGAGGAATAACTGACTGTAGGTTTTATGTGGACCCCAGTCCAAATCTGATTTAACGACCCTTTAATTAACTTTAAGAATGACCTAATTTAAAGTTACAGTTAAATCTTAAAAGTTTTGTTTGTTTTACACTGTCTGCAGGAAAAAGAAGCTTTTATCATTTCACAACTGAAGGCAAAAGGCTTGACTCTGCGTGATCAGGACGGTGAGGACATGCAGCCTTTTCTGAATATTTCACATTGTTGGTTGGGTTTGCGCTTAGACCATATTTAACCAGCTCAGATGGGTGTACTATGAAACAAGATTACAGGGTGAGTGATGTAAGTCGACCTTGATGTAAGTGAAGGGGGCGCCTTTATACCTGGCTAGATCACCATGGTAACTTATGCTGACCACATCCCTGGTTTGTACAGGTTTATTTTTAGAGTTTCGATTGAAAGTTTTCACAAATTATTTTAGTTACAGTGTCTTACAAACACAATATTGAGTCTCTGCTAAATGAATACAAATGTTTGCAGTCTGTAGAGCTTAAGGCTGCAGAATGAAGCCCAGCTGTGAGGTTACAGATAATTCAAACTACATCATATTATCACTGGACTTTCCGAATATTCATATTTGGATGATGATGCAGAAAATGTTTTTGTTTTTTTTTTTGTTTTTTAATTTTATTTTTCATGCAATTTCATTGGCTACCTAGCCTTAAAAAAAAAATCAATGCTAGAGTTGCAGTTTATCAGTAAACTAAAGTAATCCCACGTCTCCTTCGTTAGGCTGTGGGTGAGTTGTCAGAGCTGAACACAGCGAGAGCACCAATGTGTGGCTGTGACATCAGAGATAAACATTGAAGCTAAGCTTTCAGCTCTTGTGATGATCAAAACACTAAATTAACAATTTTCTGCAGCATTACTCATACTTGCAGCACCAGGGTTGCATTTTACTGCATTTATTTAACATTGTTAATAGACCTCTATCCCCCATTCATGTGATAATGTCTCTGATTGGAATAAGTGGTGCTCAGTTGACCCATCCGGTGCTGTCTGAAGTGTCAAAAAACACATCAGACAGCCCTTTTTATGTGAGCACAGAAAGCCGGGGTTACCAGAGAGAGTTAATAACCACTGGTGTGATGCCTACTATCGCTGACTGAGGTTTTTTTGGTCAAGTCAGCCAACACAACGAAACCATGGCTTTGTCGAACTTGCTTCGTAACCTACCCCTCAGGAGGCACAGTAAACAGCAGTTTGTTTTTCTAACAGCTGGTGACTTGCAGGGGAGATGTATCCTAATGAGAATATAACACAGTCTGCTGTGTCTTCCCTCCTTCCCTCAGGACGACGGCGGTCCCTGAACAGCGAAGAGATGGCCACGTTTTACAAAAGCTTCCTGGACAAAAACAGAGTACGACATGCAAATTACAACAAGTGAGTTGTTTTGTCTCCCACGATGCTGCTGGGTGGGTGAGTAAGTGGGTGGGTGGGTGAGTGAGTGGGTGGGTGGGTGGTTGGGTTGTTCAATGTCCCTCTGCAGCAGCTGTGAGCTTTAACTGCATTGCATCAACTGATCTGCAAAGAACAACAAACCTCACAGGCTATGAAGAAGTTTTGTGTGAATTAGCAATGCAAAGTGGCTGACTTGTCTTCATGTTGGCAAAGCTTTCCGCCCACACACATCACCTCAGCGGCATGTGTGGGATTTAATCTCTAACTTTTGATTGTTATATTTATTGTCGTTTCAATTTAAACTCCATCAAAGCACAAATGTTTTCCTTTTCTTCCTTCTGGTGTTATTGTGCATTTGCCTGTTTGAATCTTTATATCAGCATATTTGTTACACTGTGCAAAGTGAAACATTCTGTTTTTTGTGTATCCAGGGAATGGTACAGACGTAACTTTACCATCACCTTGCTCTTGGCTCGAGTCACCCTAAACAGTATGTGGAGGACAGTTACGGAAAGACAGAGCAGCAAGAAAGACGGCACTCCTACCAGCTGATAGCAAAGAAAATACACACACCCCCACTCTCCTGTCAAAATATCAAATGCCTTGGCTATATTTATGTCACTTCTGTTACTGCTTCATGTTTATTCAGGCTCTGCAAATGACTGTAAATTATTCTGGAAAAAATAAAGCAAAGCAAAACATGTGAGGTATTTCTTTTTAATTAATAGTTTTCATCATGTTTTAATAGTTTAAAGTATGGATTGTTATGTCACGGTCTCTTTGGTCAAGAGGGGTTTTTTTTTTCTTTTCTTGGTGCAGGGGTTATAGATACATTATAAAGCAGATTCAACTGTTACACCCAGTTTGTGTCAAAACAAAGACAACCTGTGATATCCTCTCAGTGAGATCGGTGCTGACCACCTACGACAAATACAAGAAATTTAAAAATGTGAGTGTAAATGGTTATCTGTCTCTCTCTCTGTATAAGACCTGGGACAGACAAGCGACCCATCCAGGGTGTACCCCGCCTTTAGCCCTATGTTAGCTGGGAAAGGCTCCAGCCTCTTGCAACCCCTAAACAGAAGATGGATGGATAGTTATTTTCCAGATTAATCATTTGGTCTAAATATTTGAGACCTGGAATGTAAATTTGTCTGTCTCTAAAGCACTTTGGGTTAACTGTATTGTAGGTTACAAAAAACTAGTGACAGTTAACACAAAAAGGGTCAAAAATTTCATAGTACATGTTTGATGTTTTTCTTTTTATTTCCAAATAAATAAAAAAAATTATTATTCGACACAATTCAAATATTTGGATCGATCCGCCTACCTCTAACCTCTACCATAAAATATCTAATGAACCTCCAATTTAACAATTTTACCATTATAGGCATAGGCTACTTTTATTTACGTAGATATATTGGAGTATTGTGCACCATGCACTTTGTGCTTCTTGTTTTTCCGGTAATAAATATGGAGCCTGAACTCGCGCCACAGCTTTCCCTTTAATCTGGCCTGGATGACATCAGTGCTGCCAGAGGAGCAGGGGGGTGCCGGGTAACGCCATTTTCGCGTACTGTGCAGTTAGTCATTCAGCCAGCTACAGCACTGAGGAGCTGTCATCTCCATGGGGGACTAATGAACTTTTTATTCTGCCCCATGAAGCCCTTGTCAGGCTAGTTTGACGGAGCAGTTCTTGTCATGGAAGCAGCGGAAAATACTCGCTTCTCTTGAACGGCTGACTGAAATCGCTGTTTTGACAGATAGCTAGGTGATTAGCTATGTAGCTAGCTGGTCAACATTAACGAGGTTGATGCAGTGAAGCCCGGCGTCAGAAGGCAAAACACATCATAGCAGACAAAGACAGTGTGAAAATTGTGTTTTTTTTTTTACTTCTATATATTTCTTACGCTTCTTTTACACTCTACACGGGCTGTCGGCCAAAATAAAAAATCCCATTTAGAAAAGACGTGATTTAAAAGGGGAAGAGGAACATTGAAGTCGAGCTACATTGGCAACGGATGTCCCAGAGAACGGTAAGAATGGCTCCGTGTATTACTTGGAATGCTGTTAATAGCTAATAAGCCACTTGCTTCTCTTATCACGCGTTTCTTAAAGTGTCATTTACTAAAACATAGGTATGTATACTACTAACGTTATGTAGTCTTTGTAACCATTTTTATGGAATTTTTTGCTTGTTCTGTGGTCGGTGTTTACGTTAGTTGCAGGAATTAGACATCTTAAGCACATTAACTCATTTAGAGTGCTAGGTCGGAGTTGGCCCCGAGGTTTGGTCTGTGTTACAAGAAAGTATGGTTTAACTGGTTCTTCAGGTTTAACCATTTCTACGCTATATAGCTCGGACAAAGCAGCACAACTTACAGCGACACGGACCCGACTAAAACACGCCTGTCAGCCTGTGGAAACGAGCTTCTGTCGGCTACTGCGGTGGGATTAAATCTTGATGATGACCATTTGTCATGTGATAGTTAGCTGTATCCTTTCATTGATATTCAGAGGGGAGTCAGAGCTGTGAAAGCTGCCTGTGTTGCGCAGACAGCTTTAGGGGGACAGTGGATCTCACTGTGGTACCCACAGCTGGGAAACCAAAAAG